GGCACCATAGTTTAAACCAGACCCTCTTACCTCGGCACAAGGTAAAAATGTCAGTGGTAAAAATGTCAGAGGTTATAATGTCAGATGTAAAAATGTCAGAGGAAAAATGTCAGAGGTAAAAATGTCAGAGGTAATAATGTCAGAGGTACAAAAAAAATGTCGGGGTACAAATCAGTGCCGTCATAATATCTCAGCACTTTATCACAGAAAATGTCGAGACGTAAGCTACTGGCTAGTCTATCATATTTCTTCTTTCCATATCATAATGTATATTTTATAAATTACTGTGTATTGTACTTTGTACATGTCCTGAGGATAAGAAAACGAGGAAAATTATTTTGAAACTTTTGTTTTGTGATCAGCATGCATAAATGAATTTCTAACATTTTTCGATATTTTAAATTGGTTGATGTTTTAATGTTTATTTTGGTATGGGGGAAGTAAATACATAGAATATTAACATTGCATGAGATTTTTTTTTTTTTTAAGTGAATCAGTCATAAAGATTGCACAGAAATTCCATAAATGTAGTCATCAGAACCATCTTTATGTTCATCCCAGCAAAGAGTTTTATGACAACAAAACATTAAGCAAAAGACATGGATGCATTTCCCCCTCATCAATACTATATTACAAAAGTTTAACAAACAATATCAATGCTTCGCTTGCAGAATGTCAAATAGTAGGCATACATTTAGTTGAGACATATCTAGCCAGTCATTCTTTCATGGAGATTTGTAAAATGTACCCCCTAAATAAATTAAAACCCCTCGACCATATTCCCTAAGCACGGTCTATCTTAACTGAATCTCTATGAAAGTAAATGTTAGTAAATAGATAGATCGCGACCCTTGATTAATATAACACGATCGCAACGATTAAAACGAATCAATCCAAGGCAATATAATGCTCTCTTGCGTATCGTATTCAGACACTCATCATCAATAGTGATCTGTCAGTTTATGACAGGTTCAGTGACCTATTATATTAAATTCTATATCAAGTGTCTCTCCAAGTTTCTCTCCAAGTTCCTCGGTCTTGAGTAAACCGTTTCATCGTTTCATACCCTGTTGCTCCACATTGTGTGATTACATCGTCTAGAAAGCCTTTACGAGGTCTTCCCCTCTTCTTCTTTCCATGAATACGTCCTTCTATGTCTCTGTCTCTGAGCATCAAGACCTCATCATGCCGCATTATGTGTCCAAGCCATTTCTTCTGTCTCTCTCTAATCGTTTGAATCAGCACCCGCTTTTCTTGAGCTCGTTGCAACTCCTCTTCATTCGAAATTCTCTCCCTCCAAGACACACCTAGTAATTTGCGCCAGCACCACATTTCGACCGCCTCCAATCGCTGCATGTCCTTTTTAATGAGTGTCCACGTCTCAGCCCCATACAACAGTACACTCCATACTAGAGCCTTCACAAGACGCTTTCTCAAACTAAGGTCAATGTTGTGGCTCATCAGGATATCTTGTCTTTGTAAGAAGGCAGCTCTTGCCAGAGCTGAGCGCAAGTTGACCTATTTGGCAGACTTGCCATCCTCAGTCAGCACACTGCCTAGATACTTGAAGTGGTTGACATGCATTAGTCTGTTGCCATTTAACATGATAGTTATTTCTTTTGTCTTGCCTTTACTTATCATCATCACCTTTGTTTTCTTCTCGTTGATTCTCATGCCATAGCTCCTAACCACTTGATCCATCTGAACCATCTGTCTTTGAAGACCATCGGCAGTGACAGCGAGCGTGGCCTGATCATCAGCATACCGTAAAGACCTAATCAACACTCCTCCAACGATCACTACTTCTTCTAACATTGCCAGAGCTTCTCTTACCATTGCCTCTGCATAGATATTGAAGAGAAGAGGAGACAGAAGGCATCCCTGACGTGTTCCACGTCCAATGACGGCTGGTTCAGAGACCCCATCTCCAACGCGAACGCTAGCAGTCTGAGCCATGTACAAGGATGCAAGCAATCTACGGTCTTTCCAATCAACACCAATGGCTGACAGCACTTCCATCAACCTAGTCCAATTGGCACAGTCAAATGCCTTTTCGTAGTCCACAAAACAGATATATAGGTCCTGATCATGCTGTATACATCTCTCACTTAGTATTCTCATCACAGCGATTGCTTCTCGAGTGCCGACCCCTTTTCGAAAGCCAAATTGGTCAATTCCAATATAATCTCTAGACCTCGCTTCAATCAGATGGTTGAGTACCTTTAGTAATACTTTTGAAGCATGTGATATCAGGCTGATAGTGCGGTGATCCTCGCATCTGATTGCCTTTGTAGGTTTTTCCTTGTTGGTTTTTCCTGCCGAGACCCCACTCTCCAACAGCATCATCATGTTTGTGTGAGCTTCCAACGACAGCATTCCAGTCACCGAGAAGAATACGATAGTCATTTCCTTTCCCTTTGTCCAGCTCCTCATCGATCATGTCGTAAATATCCTCCACATCTTTGTCCTCAAAGTCACTTGTAGGCATGTACACAACCAACACAACCGGTGATCCTTTATTCTGACTGCTAACAGTCTATCGCTTACAGCCTCTATCCTACATACATTCTTTGCTGTATGCTTGTCCAGCAGAAGGGCAACACCACGTTGTCTTGCTTTCCCTCCAGAGTATATCACTCTGAATTCATCACTCATGAAGTCACCACTGTCAAGCCATCTAACCTCAGTAAGAGCGAGCAGGTTCATGTTATAACGTCGCATCTCACGTTTGATGGTTTCTATCTTGTCGTCTCTCATTGTTCTAACATTCCAAGTGCCTACGCGCGAGTGAGAACTTTGCTGACTGACGACCTGACCATCCTCACTGCTGGCCCTGCCGGACGCGACACCCTGGCATCTAGTGTCTAGAGTCACGTTAACGTCTTTGGCTTGATTTTAATTGACAACTATCATATCATATAATTGGGTCATCCTGAGGATATTACTGCGGTGGGTTCCCGTTGCCTTCCGCAGGCCCAATTTTCATCATGGCTGGACTCCATTAGAAGGTTTGCTTTTACTACAGCTGACGAGTACCCTCTACCCGGATTTATGATAAACTAGCCCCCGCTGGACATCATCCCAGTATTTCTATGGTCTCGGGGAAGGCTGTCAGGTGCTACACCTTGCCCAAGGGGGACCCGGAACTTTGCATTAAAGGGTAGGGATGTTCAATGCTCTAAGGCCCTAGAGGCCCGCATACCCAATGCAGACAATACAATACGTTATTGTAACATTCCTGCCTCTACTCACCCACGCACACACCAGAGGCGGCCCTCCCGGGGGGCATGGGGGGCACAGTGCCCCCCACTTTTTCAGATACCCCCAAAATGCCCCTTTTTACATAGGAAAAGTGCCCATTTTATTTTGTAAGAAGTGCCCCTTTTACTTTGACAAGTGCCCCTATTACTTAGTAAAAGTGCCCCTTTCCCCTTTTCACCTCTGACGAGTGCCCTTTTTATTTTTGACACGTGCCCCTTTTCCTTCGACATGTTCCCATTTTCCTTTGCAATAAATGTTCATTTTCCATTCTCATGAATCTTGAAATTATCTCGAATAAGTGCCCTTTTTAATCTCTAGTAAGTGCCTCTTTTCAGGTACGAGAAGTGCCCCTTTTCACTTTTAATAAGTGCCCCCTTCACCTCTGATGATTGCCCTATTCAAAACTGAGAGGTGCTCTTTTTACTTTGACAACTTCCCCTTTTTTCCTTTGTAAGTGCCCCTTCTCCTTTTAATAACTACCCCTTTTTTAAACTCGGATGAGCGCACCTTTCATTTTAACATGTGCCCCTCTTATTTTCTAATAAGTGCCCCTTTTCCTTATAATAAATGCCCCCATTAAAAAGAGAGAGCTCCTTCCCCTTCTCATAACTTCCCCTTCCCCTTCTCATAACTGCCCCTTTTAAACATCTGAACGGTGCCCCCTTTTCATTCAACAAATGCACATTTTCCTTTATTATAAGTGCCCCTTTTACATTTTCATAAGTGCCCCTTTTCATATCTGGTCAGTGCCCCTTTGCAACTCTGATAATTCCCCTTTTAATAATGATACGTGCCCCTTTTCCTTTCTAATAAGGGACCTATCCCCTTTTCACCTCTTATAAATGACCCTATTAAAATCTGATGGGTGCCCCTTTTCCGTCAACAAATGCCTATTTCCCATTTTCGTAAACGCCTCCTTTTCATCACTGGTGAGTGCCTCTTTTCAAGTGAAAAAATGCCTCATTTTCACCTCTTATAATTATCCTTTGTACTTATACACGTGCTCCTTTCCTTTTCTTTTCTAATAAGTGTCTTATCCCTTTCGATAATTGTCCCCTTTTCATGTAATCATTAAACGTGCCCCTTATTTAAAGAGACTAAGAGCAGTTTCCCCCAAAGTTCGCTCGCTGCGCTCGCTCGCATTTAAAGATTATATAATTATGTTACTTATCAAAGGTCTTTTCAGTCTTCCCTTATGAGAATGTGCTTATAACCCCATCACGATTGGCTTTTTTTCTCTTTATAAGATGTAATTTTTCGCACTGCGACCTCACAGATCTATAAAAATTTTCTCGCTCACTTCGCTCGCTCGTAAATGCATATTCAGACATCACACTCAACTGTAAAGTTTGATGCTTAAGCGATATTTTGTATGATGTATGAAGAGAAACAAATATTGAAATCATCCCTGATAATGTAATCACAATGTAGGGGTATATACCAATGTCTAAAAATTGTATATTTTCGCTTTGAGATTTCCCACTGTAGGTGCCCTTTTTTCCAGAAAGTGCCCTTTTTTGTTGGTGCCCCCCACTTTGAAAGTCGCTCGGCCGCCCCTGGCACACACACACACACACACACAATTGCGGAGTTGGTATTCCGCACAACAATGCCTCGTCCTGGGGAATTCCAACTCGAGCCTCGTTCTGGGGAATTCCAACTCGGGCGCAGTACCTGTGGGTGAACTATGAGTTACTGTTATTTATGAAAAATCAATAGACTGTGATGACGCGTTAGAAAAGCACAACACCATCTTTTTACAGGCTGCTATTAGAGCGGTAGCCTAATTTCGAATGCATGAAATAAGTCGGTACGTACGGTACGTTGCTCAGATTAAGCCCAACGAACATCTTTTGGTGAACAGCAGACCTATCACGAACTCATCTCCGGTAAGTGATATCATTTTCCTTGTCAAATGTAAAGCTTAGTATAGCAACTGATCATGTGAATACATAGTGAAGAAACTGTTTGGTAGCAGTTGAGAAAATTTGATTATGTACATTATAATTTATGTTTAAAGATAAAGTTCAGTTCTGCTAATGCGATTGCATTGTGAAAGAAACGGTGTGGAATCGATCAGGAAAACTTTATCATGTAACATATAAGTATTGGTGTGTACTGCAGATTCTGGAATAATCAAAATGATAAGAAATATGGCCCAGTCTATTAGATGTAATAAGAACTGTACACAGAAAGATGTATATGGAACTACATAAACATGTGGCATAAAAAGGGGGTCCTCATTATTGCCCAAGAGTAGGTTGAGTTCTGGGAAGAGGTGACAATTTGTGAGCGTTATCATTGTTATTATGCAAATGTGGAAGAACATCTGATAAAAAATGTTGCCTAAAAAGCATGGCTCTTCAAATGCCTTCATATTCTAAATATGGCATGTAACAACATAAAAATCGGGACATATTTTTAATATAACATGTTCGTGTAGTCCCATATACATCTTTCTGTGTACAGTGTTTGTAACTTTACCAAGACTGGACCAAGTTTCTTATTGTTTTGATGATTCCAGAACCTTGCAGTACACACCAATACTTATATGCTGGATGTTTTACCTTTTCTGATCGATTCCACATCGTTTTTTCACAATGCAATTGCATGACCAGAACTCAACTGCATAAGTGTGAAGTTTTGGAATGAGACTCAATTTTGCTTAAAACCAAATGCAACGCACATAAAAAATGGATTTAATCTTAATGTGGTATCAACGTTTGATATTCAGGCAGGAACTTTAGGTTGACAATAGTTATTAACTTTAAAATAAAAAAGAAAAAAGGATCGGTTCGAAACAGTTAGAGAAAAAATCAGAAAAGGTTATGGATATTTTTCGTAATCATACGGTGAAGTTTTAAGGGAGAAAATGTAATACATCTAGATATAGTGGGTACCATTACTATTGATATTTGTCTAAAAGTAGTGTTCAAATGCAAAGTGGAAACACACATATATGGATCACGTATTTTATACACTATTTTACGCAGTGTGAATTCACTGTCAATCCGAAATACACCATTATTCTCACTCGTGATATTTCGTAAACATGAATATGAACACAATAGAATTTCGATTCTCTTTCTCTATTATTTTTCATTCAGGACTTAAGTTACAAAAAGTGAGACAGACATGGAGAGGAAACGCAAGCTGACATTATATCCAGATATGGCTGAACATCTCATGTGCACTATCTGCTCCGACACCTTCGATGATCCCCGCAATCTCGTTTGTGGGCATGTGTTCTGCAAGAAATGCCTGGATATTCTTGATGAAAGTCAGCTAGGGTCGCCATTGAAAACATCTATTTGTTGTCCCACTTGCAGTAGAAAGACCAAACTACGAGAGAGTCGAGTGAATGGATTTAGTCGAAACCTACCGATCAGAAAGCTCTTACATCAGGACTTGAGTGAAGAGCCAGGGCCTTCGGGTAAAAGACCCAAAAGAACTCCCACATGCAAAACGCATAACCAAGAGCGCAGAGACATTTATTGCAGCACCTGCCTGGTCTTCATATGCTTTAAGTGTTTCCAAGAAAAACACACCCATCATGTAACCAAGACAAGAAACGAATTTCTGGGAGAGCTCAGTCAAATGACTAAAGATGCCAAACAGCGATATCAGGTTCAATTAAAGACCTTGGAGAACAATCTTCTTGAAGCTGATCAGGGGGTATCTAAGTTGATTATTCATCATAACAATGCAAAGCAATCAATTGAAGACGAGTTTAAGGCTGAATTAGCACAACTCAACAAAAACATAACTTTCCGCTTGCAATCATTGACTAAATCAACAAAGAATTTGGAATCAGATGTTGCTCGGTTCAAAGAAAAGGGGAAACATTTTAAACAGAGTCTGGCGATTGCTGTTCCGAAGTTGGAAAGTAAGACTTTAGAGGAGCTAGATGGCGAAGACCTCAAGTCCTACGTTAAAACTGTCGACACGGTGTTGAACCTTCTCAAGACTGACATTGGTGTAGAACACTTAAAGCTCTGGAATAAACTTTTGGTACCATCTGCACCATCTAGACCACAGCATGGCTGTGTTCCATCAACCAGTGGTGGAACCGCAGGGCAGGCTCTCCAAAAGGTTTCTCCTAAGTCGATTAACAAGCCCCTTTAAACAAGGTATTTGTTGGGGTACCAATCGGCGGTGGCTATATAGTGACGCTACGTAACTGTTTGTAGACTAATGAATGAAAAGGGTTTACCCAGAGAATACTAGTTTATATAAATAATCAGAGAAGTGAAAGGTTACTACTACTACTAATGATGATCATGATGATGTAAAAGGGGAACACAGTTCAATTCTAGACAGAACAACGGTAATGTAATGACATTGATTACAATACGTGTATAAAATTCTAACACTGAAGAGTTGATTCATAGTGAATGCGTTATAATGACAGTGTTTCACTTGTAGTGCATAGATACATGAACATAAATTAGGAATGGTTTATGACATGTTAAGTTTCCACAGGACATTGTGTTGTGTCTCAGTCAACATGTACATCGTAAAATGAAAACAGTGGCAAATATATTTACTTTTTCGCTTTTAGACTGCACCTATACACCTCCGTTAAAATAGAAAAAAGGGGAAAACTTTCAAGTACAGGCCATTATCTTCAATGTATAATTTTTTTATTTTTTTTTATAAATTTATTTTTGTTTTCGTAGTGATCATTTGAATAAACATTGAGTTGAGTTGAGTTGAGTTGAGTTGAGTTTATTGATTTCACATTTCACATGCAGAAATAATACAGATAACATTGTTTCATAATTTAAAAAAAAATGATTATATTATTTGACAAGGTAATCATACCCAGCTGTGTCTTTTTCTTGAGTGTAGGCTGTATTAGAGAATTAGACGGTGACACAGACAACAAAGGCCGCACCAGGATTTAAAAAGCGAAGGGATGCCAAGTATATGGTGTTACAATTAAATAAGTCTTTGGATTGGAATGCGCTTAATATGTTGGTATCCTCTCTAAATCTAAATTGATATAGCCTTATAATTATATAATATTGGCTGCCTTTGAGTGGTATATCAGATTGATTGTACGAGTCGAAGATGAGTGCAATATTCATGCTAGCTGAATGCAATATAACTGATACACCACGAAAGAAAGCCAATATTATTATTATCATACATTAAAACATCGTACTGTAACAGTGAAATTTAAAGGATTGGAAAGATCAATTTATCAATTCATGGCAATTTTTCAATCCAACAGTGTCTCGACTAGTCTTGAGCAAAGTTTTGCGAGTCAAAATGAAAGATGATTCATGTTTTGAATATAAATGGGTGTTTAAACGCAACACTGGCAACGCATGTGATACTGGGGCCGTATTCACTACAGGACGCGGATAAACATAGTATTTTATTTAGAATTTTTACTTGGCTAAGGTGTATGTCTCAACTCGTGAATTCGGTGATTTTACCTCTACCATGTTTATTTGTACCATATATCTGTTCTATCCTATACCACAGAATTTCAAAAGTTGTTATCAAATGTGTTTTATAAAAATGTACTGCAGTTTAAGTCAAGGGAAATGGTTCATCATATTCTAGAATTGGTAGTTATGTCATTGACAAAGCTCTGTTTAAAAAGAACTAACCTTATGGTAAATATAACTGTAATTGACACCGTTCATTTATTTCTGCTTTGAGTAGTTGATAGTTTGAAGAAATATTTCTTAGAAATCAAGACATCAACATCATGACATTTATTCATGTTAGCATGATGCGGAGTGAACAAATAATCATAAAAATGAAGGTTTCCTTATAATTTCATATAAAAACGTGTACCTTGTTTTATTATCAAACTCTTTTAACTGGTTCACGAACTTGATTTATTGCTTGTAATGACGGTTTTTGCTTAATAATTACAATCAACAAATCAAGATCAGGATGTGACTTTTAATGTAATGACTAATTGGACCATTTCATGCGCATATTATACATTGACACAATATATTAATAAGATATATAGATGATTTCCTTTTTGGTCTATGAAATTGAAGAATCAATGTTTCAAATACCGCCAAAAGAGATAACATGTTTTGACAACTCGAATGTAGACAACACAAATTGTTAATATAGAAGTATAACTCTGTGCCAGTATAATAGTGGAAACTCGTTTTAAGAACCTCAGGGCCCCGTTTTATAAAGAGTTTATATTAATCGCAACTATAGGAGACTTATATTATATATATTATATGTAAACTTGCGATTAAATAAATAAAGAACGTAACCCTATCTGCAACTAAAGAAAAGGCCATATAGATGTAACGAATGTAATCAGAGCATATGTTTAATTCAATTCAACACAATATTTATTTTATTTTGACAATGATTTGAAGCCAGAGGCTAAATTGCCATCAATCATATTTTTTCAATATCATTTCACTTTGCAACATTATCAATTGCCTTTAAAAGGTTATAACAAATTACATGAAAGGGAATGTTGAGTAGGTGGAAAATAATCTGTGAGCGTTTTCATTGTTATCATGCAAGTGTGGAAGAACATCAGGAGAAAAAAATATTCCCTGAAAAGCATGGCTCTTCAAATGCCTTCATATTCTAGATATGATACGTAACAGCTTTAAAATGAGGACCTCATTTTTATGCCATATGTTTTTGTAGTCCCATATACATCATCCTGTGTACAGTGTTACTTTAACCAAGACATTACCAAATTTCTAATCATTTACACATCAATACTTATATGCTACCAGAACAACATTTTCTGATCGATTCCACAACGTTTCTTTCACAATGCAAACGCATGACCAGAACTTAACTTTTTCTTTAAGAATACAATGCTTAAGAAATATGTATATGTGTCGAATTAGACTGTATTTATGTACACGTTAATAATAATTAAACGTGTATGTAGAGCGACTGCACTTTACAGAACAGAATACAGAAGGAGTGGTAATTGTCCACTGGGCTCGTAATTGTGAGATTTTACAAAGTTCTAAATAAGTACATTTTGAAATTACTTCTGAACTCCTTATATGTTTCTATATTGTTAAGCTTTTCTGGCACGTAATTCTATTTTTTTTTAATTAAAAAAGGAAAGTGACTGCATATGAAATAGCCTACAGAATTCTGCTTTAATACTTGTTTAGTAAATCTTTAAGTTAGTGCTACAATTGACCAAATTATATTTATAAAAAAAGAGATGAAGGATTTTTTAAAATCATACTGTTCATAACGTGCACTTATTCAAGAAGATTTTGTTTCATAAACATCCACGAAAAGACGAAAAGAGATATTTCTATTGTTTTATCTCTTTTCTTTACAAAACAAAGAGACACACAACATAGTTTACCCCACCAACACATCATGATACTGGAAGTCAGTGGCGGGTCCAGCCGGCGGGAAGAGGGGGGGGGCCCAATCCGTGAGAAAATATTAGTTGCGACTCAACCAACGGTGAAAAAGCGGGGGGGGGGGGGGGGGAGGTGGGTTTAGGAGGCACTTTTTTGTCCAATTTTTCAGGAAATATTTTAACCCGACTCAGCAAGCCGGTAAATAAGCGGGGGGAGGGGGTGGGTACGACCACTTTTTTGGTTTTTTGGCCTTCTTCGTGAGAATTTTTTTTTTTTTTAATTAAAAAAAATCCGCGCCTGCAGAGGATCCAGCCGGCGACAAGGGGGGGGGGAGCCAAATCTTAATACAAAATTTAGCGTCGGCTCAGCCGGCCGGCGAATAAGCCGGGGGGGAAGCACCTTTCTTCTTTCCTTTTTTGATAGAGTTTTTGAGGACAAATTTAGCGCCGACTCAGCCGGTCGGTGAATCAATTATTTTTTTTTTTTTTGGGGGGGGGGGGGGCGCTTTTCTTTTGTGTTTTAAAAAAGGTTAACTTTACGTTATTATCCTATTTTTTTTTTAATCGTTTTAGGGGGCTAGGGGGGGGGCCGGGCCGGAAAATTCGCTACGTGGATCCGCCCCTGCTGGTATTGTCGTTTATTCCTTCCCCCATTTGTTTAAAATAGTTTGTGTGGCATTTGTTTATATATAGTTTTTTTAGGGGAGTTGCACTTAAAAGAAAAAATAAGATGTTCATCTCAAATGTTTTGGGGTGATACCCAGTGGTGGTCCTATGCACAGGCCACCATCATTATGCTACCATAATCAATTCTGTATTAGTGCCTTATTGGGAGTTACATTAGAGCTATAAAGCCAGGGATTAATATCTATTATATCGCAACTCCATGTATGTACTTAAGAGAGAGGAGATCGCAAACTTGCGATTGATTTAGATCCATCGCAACTCATTATAAGACGGGGCCCTGTTTATAACAAGGTTTCAGATCGGGATCGAGTTAGCTAGAACTCGACCCTCGGTTTATAAAAAAATTAAACTAAAGGCCCGGTCACACAGCCCTCCACGGGCGTATCGCGGCCGAATCACGGCCAAAAATTTCTGCCCGTGAAGCAGACGCTGTTGGACGCTTTGAGGTCGCGATAAAGACGCGATACAGCCGTACTTTACCCGTCGTTACACGCGGTAAGAAATTCACACGCGGTTGGCCGCGCGAAAAAGTTTTGGGCTGCCAAAAAATTTAGACCGCGGGTAATCGCGGGCGGTACACGTGGTACACACGCGGTAAAGACGCGGTACAGACGCGGAACGAACGTGCTAGGACGTGCTACGGCCGCGGTTAAGACGTGGTTACACGCGGTAGGACGCGAAATTTTAGCGGGTAATCGCGGGTGGAGCACGGTCATAGCACGTTTGTTCCGCGTCTGTACCGCGTTGTTATCACGTGCATTAGCGTGTGTACCGCGTATACAGCGCGCCCCAATACCGGCCTAATCACGTTCAATTGCGTCTTGTACACGTCCCAAATACGATTGTCCACGGCCTAATCGCGTCCGTACAACGTCTGATTTTAGGTATATAAAAAGCGCGATTTGCCGAGCATTCGTCAGTTGTGCTCCAGACGTCAAGGGGTGAACATGGATCCCCGTCACCGTAATGACCTCGTCTTGCTGCTCCAGCAGCATCAGAACCAAGTGGTACAGGTCCATCAGCTCCTCATTGACAGAAGAAGACGAAGGAGGAGGAGGAGGAGGAGGGTGGTCCGGAACATCTGGGTGCGCGACTGGATTGGCCCGGTTCGGCTGCTTTATTATACCCGTGGTAGGCCGCGTTACCGCCGCGCTTCACCCGCGATAAGGACGCGGAACAGTCGCCGGCGTCTGTTCCGCGGGCATACCACGGGTAAACCGCGGGTAAGCCAATTTTGCACATTTTCCACCACGGGCAACCGCGGGCAAACAAAAATCGCGAAATTTTACCCGCGATACAGACGCGAAAGGCTGTGTGACCGGGCCTTAAGGTCAATTTCAGGATCTGTTGCGTATCCTGTTTAAAAAAAATCATGCGGACAATGAAAAACATCATTGTATCATTCGTATCTCTGCGATGGTGTTATGAGAAAAAAATACTTACCTACGCACACGCTGACACAAACAATAGCATGTAGTATAACAATGCCTCGTCCTGGGGAATTCCAACTCGGGCCTCGTTGCGGGGAATTCCAACTTGGGCGTAGTACCTGGAGATGAATGCCCCCCCCCCCCCCCTCCTGCGTGTACATATTTTTCGATCATTGACGAATATTGTTCGGTTTAAACTTTAAACGACGGTATTCAAATTCCAAGTTATTGTTGTATTTGCTTCTATGTTTCATCGATTCAGGCTTACAATTGTATACGTTATTCTAAAAATTCATGTTGTCCAGTTTTGAGAATCAAGCATTTCATATATTCAAGCTAATTCCTTCGCATGTTAAACTTTCGTTCATTATCTGTATATGGAAGAATGATGTTTGTGCACATCAGTATGTACCCTGTGATCCTGTTGTTTTACTCCAGTTTTTGGCATTCCTAGAATCTCGGTAATCATGGTAAAATATCATCCTAAAATATTTATTTATTCCTCTCTCATGAAATTATAATGATAACCAATTTCATGACAATTTCCCAACTATGAATTTTGTTTAGAGGTATTTGCTTTCAGTTTAAGAACAGCATTTAGGTAAGCACAAGGCTATCCTTTATTTTTAGAGCCTGTCTATGCCCACGATTTACTGTGATGACGTGAACAGAAAAGCACAGCACAGTCTTTATACAGGCCGCTATTAGAGCGGCAGTTATAGCATAATTTCTAATGCATAAATATGTTCGGTACGTTTCTTAGATTAAGCCCGAAACACATCTTGTGGTGAACAGCAGACTTATCAGGAACTCATCTCTGGTAAATATAAAGTTTGGTAAAGTAACTGGTCACGTGAAAACATAGTAAAGACACTGTTTGGTAGCAGTTGAGAAAGGTTGATTAAATACATTAGAATATCGGTGTTTAAGCCTAGGACTAAAGTTTTGGTGTGATCAAAATGAGACTCAATTTTGCTTTAAATAACATGCACTTCCACAATAATGGATATGTGGGTTTCTTTACACATGTTGTATCAACGTTCCTAATTCAGGCAAGTGCTATAGTGAGACGATATAGTATACTACTTAAACTAGGAAAGGAAAAAAAATCGGTTCAAAATTGTTTGAGGAAAGTCACAAATGGAAACATGGAAATGGAAATATAAATTAATGCATCTAAACATATTATGTACCATTATCATTAATTTTGTACTAAAAATGGTGGGAAACTGCAGAGTGCACACATACTACACATCATGTCTTTTATAAATTGTTTTATGCATCATGTATTCACTGTCATCCCTAAAAGAATCCAAAATACAAAAATATTCTCACTCGTAATATTTCGTGAACAAAACTTTTCAGCCTACAGATTAATCTTCGGAATATGAACAGACCATAGGCTCAGATATAATTTAAATTTTCTTTCTTCGTTCTCTTTCATTCAGGATTTCAGTTATAAAAGTGAGACAGACATGGAGAGGAAACGCAAGCTATCATCACATCCAGATGTAAAGGAACATCTCATCTGCGCTATATGCACCGATATTTTCCATGATCCCCGCAATCTCGCATGTGGACATGTGTTCTGCAAAAAATGTCTGGATAAGCTTAATGAACGTCAGCTATGTTCGCCAGTGTACGGACCTATTATTGGTTGTCCCACTTGCAGACAAGAAACCATACTACCAAAGAGCGGAGTGAATGAACTTAGTAGAAACCTACCCATCTTGGGGCTTCTAGACCAGGACTTGCTTATAAAAAGAACTCCCACATGCACTGAGCACAACCAAGAGCGCAGAGATATTTATTGCAGTACCTGCCTGGTCTACATATGCTTTAAGTGTTTTCAAGGAAATCATTCCCACCATGTAATCAAGACAAGCAACGAATTTCTGGAAGAACTAAGTCAAAAGACAGACGATGCCAAACAGCGATATCAGGTTCAGTTGAAAACCTTGGAGAACAATCTTCTTGAAGCTGATCTCGAAATACAGAAGATGCGCTCTGCAAAGCAATCCATTGACGACGAGTATAAGGCTAAATTGGAACAATTGAACCAAAACAGAACTGTCCGCTTGCAATCATTGAATAAAACAGCAAAGAAATGGGAATCGGATGTTGCTCAGTTCAAAGAAAAGGGGAAACAGTTTAAAAATAATCTAGCGATTGCTGTTCCAAAGTTGGAATGTAAGACTTTAGACGATCTAGATGGCGAAGACCTCAAGTCCTACGTTAAAAATGTCGACAATGTGATGAATCTTCTCAAGACTGACATTGGTGTAGAACAACTACGGCTCTGGAATAAACTCTTAGTACCATCTGCAGCATCTAGACCTCAGCCCGGCTCTGTTCCATCATCAAGTGGCGGAACCACACACCAGGCTTTCCAAAAAGCTTCTCCAAAGTCAGTTAACCAGCCCCTCTAAACAAGGTATTTGTTGGGTGCATATAATTATAGGTGGCTATAATTATTGACGCTACGTAACTGTTTGCAGACAAGTGAAGAGAAATCGTTCCTCTAGAGAATGCTAGATTGTATTCATAATCAGCGACGTGTAAGGTTATTAAGAATGATGATCATGTTGATGTAAAAGGGGAACACAGTTCAAAATAAGACAGAACAACGGTGATCTTACAGCTTCCACTACACGTATAAAATTCTAACACTGAAGTGGTGCTTTACAGTGAATGCCTTTTGATGATAATGTTTAATTTATATTGCATTCATACATGACAAAACTACATGTACATAAATTGAGAATGGCTTATGTTATGTTACGTTTCCACACGACGTTTTGCTGTGTCTCAGTCAAGTACATGTACAATGTACAATAAAGAAAGTGACAAATTGATTTTCTTCTTCAATCTTAGACCGCACCTATACACAGCTTCAGTTTAATAAGAAAGAATAACAACTTTCAAAATACAAGCCACTCTGTTCTAGGTATCATACCGTTTTCTTTTTCATAATGATTATACTCAGTTGTGTGATTTTTTACTTGAGTGTGTGTAGGCTATATTAGAGTACTAGACGGTGACACAAATATATGGTAGATACTTTTGGGCGGGCTAAGGTTTTTTTTCTTTCGTTCGCAAAAGGCGAAAATAACGAGACTCGACGAAAAAGAGCCATTTCCGTGTGAAAAAAAGAATAATTCTGACTAGCCATAAAATGAGGTACACACTCCTGGAGTTGACAATCGAATGAATTTGGATTGGGATGCGAAAACCAAATACCGTTTTTTATGACAAAAAGACCCCCAACAACAAACAAACAAGCAATAAAATCTCTCCCATCATTTGTCCAAAAATCACTTTGTATCGCATTCTATCATGGGCTAACGCTAAAGGATGAGGAGTATGAAGAAAATTTAAAAAATCAAAAAAATCTGCACACATGGGACCCAAGTCGGACTTCAAGTTCCGTGCAGACTCTGTTTCATGAGAGTGTCGTACACTTGCAAAGTCTCTTTTCAAACGTAATATTTGAAGCCAATATTTTTAAATATATTATAACCATATATAACATATAAAACCTTTTTTGCTGATTGGTATATTCTTGAAATTGGTGGTGGGTCAGTGTCGCCAGATAATTTAACCTTGTTACCAAAAGAGAATTTCGGTAATTTTTTATTTTGGGTGATTTGGGAGTAAGAGGAAAATTGATTTTTTTTTTTTTTTACTAGCTGTCATCAGTGGGGAGTTCATATGGGTATTGGGCACACAATATCCACGATTAAGGTGAGGGGGAGGCATATTACAAGTGTGACCAATAGCCAAAAGCCAAATATATGAATTGAAATAAATACTCTATCACGAATATTACCTCTTATTGGCATTGATAATATATATCGAACAGTCTTTGAATTCGGTGGTTTTCGGTGAATTAGGTGATTTTACCTCTACTATGTATATTTGTACCAAAGTGGGTATTTGTAACAAAATTTGTAATGCAGAGCTAATATTTGTTTTATAAATCGGTCAATGGTAATGTTTAACTGTTTTCTAGAAATGGCAGTTATGTCAATAACAAAGATCTGGTGAATATGAACTAACCTTATTGTAAATATAATTTAAATGATACGAATCACTATTTTAGTTTTGAGTAGTTGATAGTTTGAAAAGATGTCATAGAAATCAAACATTAACATCATGATATTTCTTCATGTCAGCACAGTGTACAGTGAACAAATAATAATAAAAATGAAGACTTGCTTCTAATTCTATTTAACACGTAAACCTTTGTTTTATTATCTACTGTCAATACTCTTTTAACTGAATCCTGACAATGCTTTGCAGTCAAAGGCTGAATTGCGTATCATTCACAAATTCTCCAAAGCGTTTCACATTCAAATGTAACACTATCAGTTGCAACGTATGAAAAACGTATGAAAAATTACTTAAGACTACAGTGGCTAAGAAATATGTAGTCTCTTGTATCAACAGTTGTTTTATTGACACTATGTCTGGCTGAGACGGTTATATCCGTGAAGTGTGGGATACATAAAGAATCCTGTTTTAATACTTTGTTATCGTTTTTATCTAAACACTTCAAACATTATTTACAACATCTGTAAATGAACATTTTCATTATATCGTTTATAACGTGCACTCACACAAAAATGAAATGTTTCATAAAAATGATCATTTTTGTTGTTTAATTTAGTTTTCTGTGCAAAACAAAAACACACATAATATGATTTACAATAACAGCACATCATGGAACTTAGCTTTGTGTCTTTTTCTCAATTATTTGCTAGTTGATTGTTGTTGTTTTATGGTTTGTGCTATAATATAAATGAGAGTGCAAGCTTTTTATTGGTATTTGTTAAAGTCATTTTGTATGTGTTACTAAATCGCAAGGCTTCAAATTATTTACAGGAAAAATTTTGATTTTCACACACCATCTACAAATACAATACCCGGCAATCCAGCATATGCGAGTCTTTCATGTGCGTTTTAAGATAAAATATATGAATGTGCCTGTCAAACATTTTGAATCGTGAAGAGACGATAAACGCGACATCCCGCAAATCACGTTCGTATATACAGGGTGAGTGAGAAAAAATGTCCCACTTTTTTAAATTGTATTGTGTGAAGTATGAATATTTAATTATGGGTTTCATGATATGTCTTGATAGAGTTATCCTCCCAGTAGGTACCATTTTCATTAAATCCCTTCATGCATGAATGAACATCGGACAATCTTTACAAGACTGCCATATTTTACTTGCGCCAACTTACTGGGTGAGGAATAAAACAGTGCATTGAAGAAAGACAGTCAGACAGAGAGAGAGAGAGAGAGACACACACACACACACTTTCACACACACGCACACAGGCACACACTCACACACAAATACCGCAAACGTCGGTGAATAAAAACACAAACAATTTTTGTATTTGTTGAGTTATTTTATTGAGGTACAGCAATAAATCTGTTTCCCAAAAGTTCTCCATCCTCCATACTGAATCCTCCACATGACCGCCATTCCTCCTGATGCACAGTTGTGCACGGTGAAGCAATAGGGACTTTTAGATTGAGTGGACGAGAACACGACGAACGCCGACTGATCATGCGTGTCAACGTACTTAATCTTTTAGATTGCACTCGACGATATACATGCATGCATGAAGTAACACTATGAACATCACGTACAAAGAAAGAGGACAAAATATACAGTTCCTCGGCCTCAACAAAAGAACATCCTTTCACTGTTATTATGTAAAAATGTGTAGAACAGGTGAATATGCATGTGACACCTGTTCTACACATTTTTACATAATAGCATGCAGGGAAGGGATGTTCCTTTGTCTACCTGTTGAATTGTATATTTTATGCGCACACGGCATACTAGTACCTTGAGCATATATAAAGGCGCTATATAAATATCAATATGTATGTATATGTACTAGATTTAGGAAAATCAAGGTTGACGCATTCTCGATCGCCGACTGAGACGACGTAACGCATGCGCAGTGCCTTAAAATGACGTCACACGTTACAGTCAAAGCTGTTGACGTGCAAATCTAAAAGTCCCTATTCCTTGACAAGTACGACGGATCATGTACCCATCTTGGCGTACCACGTCTGTCGCGTCCACGATTCTCCTCCGAAGCTCCTTGATGTTCACAGGTGGGCTGCTGAATATCCTTGACTTCAAGTGCCCCCACAAGAAGAAGTCGAGAGAATTCATGTGCACTTCATGATGATGATGATGATGATGATTAAGATTAAGATGATGACAATGATGATGATATGATGGTGGTAGTGAATGGGAAAGATTGACAGGGAAATGCCAATTAAACATTCAGGGATCTTTATAAAAATCAAGGAGAAATTATGAGACAATTGTAACCGTGTGTTTGGTCGTGGTGTGTGCGTGTTTGTGTGTGCGCGTGTGTTTGTGTGCGAGAGTTTGTGTGTGTGTGGTGTGTGTCTGTACTGTGTCTGTGTCTGTTTGACTGTCTTTGGTCAATGCACTGTTTTATTTCTCACCCAGTAGGTTGGCGCAAGTGAAATATGGCAGTCTTGTAAAGATTGTCTGATATTCAGTCATGCGTGAAGGGATTCAAATGAAAATGGTACCTAAATGTACTGAAAGGATAATCCCATCAAGAAATATCATGAAACCCCTCATTAAATAGTCACACTTCAAACAATACAACTTTTAAAAAGTGGAACATTTTTTTCTGACTCACCCTGTAGTGGGGTTCAATAGTGGGGTTCGATATAAGTATGTGCATATCGTGGCAAGACACGATAAACGCACCCTATGCCAGATTAGGTTTTGCGGGAAGGGTCATAGAAGCAAAATTGAAGGAGGAATAATGGTAGTGAATAGACTAGCCTAAATCAACCACAAGGATAGAGGATATAGACCATTCTTCACCAAGGAGCAGCGAAGAATCGTTGAATATAACACGATCATCGTACAGATTTTTTTTTCTTTACAGATCAATCCAAGGGCCAGCCTCAGGCTCTTTTGCGTACGTATCCTATTAAAAAAATGATCTTATTCGACATTCGCTTATCTGCGGTTGTGTTATGTGAATAATACCAGGTCCATGGTAATACACAAATCACGCACAAACACAATAGCATGTGGTATAACTCTACAATGCCTCGTCCTGGGGAATTCCAACTCGGGCGTCGTTCTGGGGAATTCCAACTCGGGCGTAGTACATGGAGGTAAATGGTACACCCCCCCCCCCCCCCCCCCCTCTCCCCGGCCCGCTGATACATACTTTTCGATCATTGACAAATATTGTGCGGTTTAAACGAGGGTGGGCCTACTTAATAGCCAAGTTTTTTTAATATATTTATTTGTTTCATCGATTAGGCCTAAGACTATAGGTTATTTTAGAAATTCATAGTGTCGACTTTTGAGAATTAGGCATCTCGTAAGTATCAGTAAACTGGTTTGCATCTTATACTTCCGTTCATTATCTGTATCTGTATAGAAGAATGATGTTATAACACTCAGTGTACCATGTAATCCTGCAGTTTTACTCCATACAAAATGTTTGACATTTCTAAAATTAAGGTAATCATTGTAAGATATCACCCTAAAATATTTAGTCTTTCCTTTATCTTTTATTGTCTTTACTTTTATCATGAAATTATAATGATGATCAATTTCATGACAGCTTTCCGGCTATATGAAAAAGAAGAAGAAGAAAGAAGGAGGAATTCAGAGGTATCTACTTCCGCAGGATTTAAGAACAGCATTTAGTTAAGCCCGAGAGGGCGAGACTATCCTTTATTTTTAGAGCATGTCTATGCCCCTGATTTCAACTATGCGTTCCTGTTATTTATGAAAAATCAGTGCACTAGTTGTGACGACGTGGTTAGAAAAGCAAAGCATGGCCTTTATTCAGGCCGATATTACGGCGGGAGCATAATTTCTATTACATAAATATTTTGGTACGTTGCTTAGATTAAGCCCAAAGCACATCTTTCGGTGAACAGTAGACTTATCAGGATCTCATCGATGGTAAGTGATAGCATTTGCCTTGTTAAATATAGAGTTAAACACAGTAACTGGTCATGTCAATACATAGTGAAGAAATGGTTTCAATCGGTATCAGTTGAGAAAGGTTGATTATGTACATTAGACTTGATGCGTATAGTTTTAAAGTTTTGGAATGCATTGAAATGAAATTCAATTTTGCTGAAAATGACATGCACTGCACACAATAATGGATATGTGGGCCTATTAACACATGTGGGATGAACGTTTATAATTCAGGCAAGTGCTCTAATGTGACAATGGTTATTTCTTTTACAATAGAAAAGGAAAAAATAATCGGTTTCAAACAGTTTGAGGAATGTCTGCAATGGGAACGGCTATGGATATTTTTTAGCAAAATTCGGAGATGTTATAATGGAGAAAAAAAAATATTACATGTAGATATATTGTGTACAATTGTTTTTACTAAAATAGTGTAAAAATGCAAAGTCAGACATAATACGCATCCTGTTGTATGTATTTTGTTTCACACATCATTGTTTTCACCGTCATCCCTAAAAGAATACAAAATGCAAAAAAATGTTTCTCACTCGTAATATTTCGTAAACAAGACTAATCAGTCTACAGATTAATCTTGACAATATGAACAGACAATTATATAGGCTAAGACAGAATTTAAATTCTCTTTTTTTGTTCTCTTTCATTCAGGATTTAAGTTATAAGAGTAAGACGGACATGGAGAGGAAACGCAAGCTTACATTACATTCAAAACATCTCATTTGCGCTATCTGCAAAAATATCCTCCATGATCCCCGTAATATCGCATGTGGGCATGTGTTCTGCAAAAAATGTCTGGATACGCTCGATGAAAGTCAGCTGGGGACACCATTGAAAACATCTATTTGTTGTCCCACTTGCAAAAAGAGGACCATACTACCAGAGAGTGGAGTGAATGGATTTAGTCGAAACCTACCAATCGTGGGGCTCCTGAACCAGGATTTGAGTAAAGAGCCAGGGCCTTCTAGTAGAAAGCCCAAAGGCACTTCCACATGTACTGAACACAACCAAGAGCGTAGAGACATGTATTGCAGTACCTGCCTAATCTTCATATGCTTTAAGTGCTTCCGAGGAAATCATTCCGACCATATTGTAATCAAGACAAGAAACGAATTTCTGGAAGAGCTAAGTCAAAAGACCGAAGATGCCAAACGCCAATATCAGGTTCAGTTGAAAACCTTGGAGAACAATCTCCGTGAAGCTGATCAGGGAATACACAAGCTGCGTTCTGCACATAACAATGCAAAGCAATCAATTGAAGACGAGTATAAGACTAAATTGGCACAACTGAACCAAAACAGAACTGTCCACTTGCAATCATTGACTAAAACAACAAATAAATGGGAGTTGGATGTTGCTCAGTTCAAAGAAAAAGGTAAACAATTTAAAAGTAATCTGGCGATTGCTGTTCCAAAGTTGGAATGTAAGACTTTAGAGGATCTAGATGACGAAGACCTCAAGTCCTACGTTAAAAATGTCGACATTGTGATGGATCTTCTCCAGACTGACATTGGTGTAGAACATTTAAATCACTGGAGTAAACTCTTAGTACCATCTGCACCATCGAGATCTCAGCCAGGCTTTGTTCCATCAACCAGTGGCGGATCGGCAGGGCAGACTCCCCAAATAATTTTTCTCAAGTCAGTTACCAAGCCCCTCTAAACAAGGTATTTATGGGGGTGCCTAGATAGATGGCTATTTATTGACGCTCTGTAACTGTTTGCAGACGAGAGAATAAGACAGTATTTAGCATTTAGTATTTAGGACAACGGTGATGCAGTACATTTTACTACGTCTATAGAATTATAAAACTGAAGGGCTGATTCACAGTGAATGCTTTTCCGTGATAATGTTTAATTTGTATTGTACATACAAGACACAACTACATGTACATAAATAGAGAATGGCTTATGTTCTTTTTAGTTTCCACACGACGTTTTGCTGTACTTTACTTGACTGAGGTCAAGTACATGTACAATGTAAAATAAAGACATTAACGAATTGATTTTATTTTGCAATCTTAGACCGCACCTATACACAGCGTCGGTAATTATAAGAAAGAAGAAAACTTTCAAATACAGGTCATTCTGTTCAATGTATCATACCGCAATGTTAATATACATTTATACTGAGTTGTGTCTTTTTCTTGAGTGTAAGCTCAAGGGGTTTAGAGCCTGGTTACATGGTGGTGACACAGACAACAAAGCCCGCACCGAGATTTAAAAAGCAAAGGGAAATTGGAAGTTTGGGCGGGCAAAGGTTGTTTTTTCTCGATTGCAAATAAGGAAGATAACAAGACCCGAATAAAAAGAGCAATTCTCGAGTGAAAAATGAATAATTCTGACGAGCCAGGAAATGAGGGGGACAAGCCTGGATTTTACAATAAAATTTGATTGGGGTGCAAAAAAACAAAACCCGGCACTGAAATTTCGATATTTGTTTCATGACCGAAATAAAAGAGAGAAAAAGGAAGATCTCGCCCAGCATTTGTCCATAGATAAGGTGCTTATATACCCAGGTGTCACATCTTTCTTACTTCCCCCGTGCCACCACTGGTATTCAAGATTTTACTCAATTTTTATCAATCCCTTAAAAAGAAAAGAATTCGAGTACAGCTACAATATATCAAATCAACCTTAAAAGCACTTTATGTCGCATGCTATCATGGGCTAACGCTAAAGGATAAGGAGTATGAAGAAATAAAGAATAATATACATCTGCGCACATGGAAGCCAAGTCCGGCTGGGGTTACATGCTGACCCTATTTGATGAGAGTGTGTTAAACTTGCAAAGACTCATTTTAGAAGTAATATTGAAGCCAATGTTTTACTTAAATTATACCGAAATGAAAGTAATGACGTACAGAACATTTTTTCTGTGATTGGTATAAGTTCTTGTAATTGGTGATGGATCAGTGTTGCCAGATATTTCAACCTTGTCACCAAAACAAAAATGTTGGTAATTTTTTTAGTGATTTGGGAGTAAGAGGAAAACTCGGTTTTTGACATAGCTGTCATCAGTGGTGAGTTCATTCAGTATGGGCATGAGCACACAATATCCACAAGTAAAGTTGTGAGAGCGTGTTACATTTGTGACAAAAATTCAATAGCCAAAAATCTAAATTGAAATGAATTCCTTATTATAAACTTAACCCTTATTGGCATTGATATCGGGCATTCTTTGAATTTGGTGATTTGGGGGTGAATTTGGTGATTTTTTTTTATCTCTACCATGTATATTTGTACCATATTATTATCTGTACTATTTTTCCTATATTAATGTATTTCAAAAGTTGCAATGAAGAGCTAATATTGTGTTTTATAAAACTGTACTAGAGTTTATAGCCCCTCTAAAGTGTTGGGAGCCCCAAATTTGGCAAAAATTTGTTGGCAAAAATTAACTTAAATTTTACAATGATGTGCAAGGTTACTGACAGGTGGTTATCTCATCAAATCAGCTCTCAATTAACATAAGAACAAGAGGATCATGGGGGACCAACAGGCACCGATTAGGCATTGTTTGCTATATAGAGGGCGCAAGTACATGTAGCTATAAGTAGTGCAGTGGGGATTTAACAAACACTTCTGCAAGGATTTTTAAAACAAACTTGTTTAAAGACGAATATTGATGAAAAAATTGCATATTTGGGTTTACTCTAGTAAGCAGAAAACCTTAATGTCATATTCTTTGTATATCAATATTCGTCTTCAAACACATTTGCTTCTTGCAGAAGTTTATTTTTAAATGATATCCTCTTTCACATCATTATACAATAGTGAATTTTTGCCATCAAATTTGTGGAGCTCCAAACACTTTAGAGAGGCTTTAAGTCAAAGGAAATGTTTATTTGTAGTGTAGATATGGCAGTTATGACAATGACAAAGCTTTGGTAGATAGGAACATAACCTTATTGTAAATATAATTGAATAGTGACACGGTTCACTATTTCAGTTTTGAGTAGTTGATAGTTTGCAAAAAGATGTCATAAACATCAATGAACATTAACATCATGACATGTATTGATGTCAGCACAATGTGCAGTGAACAAATGACAATAAAAACGAAAGCTTGCTTCAAATTTGATTCAATACGTGTACCTTGTTTTATTATCTATTGTCAATATTCTTTTAACTGAATCCTGTCAATGCTTTGCAGCCAAAAGCTGAATTGCACACCATTCACAAATTCTCAATAGCGTTTCACATTGCAGTGTAACATTATCAATTGCATTAAAAAATGTATGACAAAATTACATTTACTTATATAGTACAATGGTTGAGAAATATCTAAATATGTTTTATTCAATTGAAAGCTTCAGTCTCTTGTATCAATGCATGTTTCATTGAGAGTATGTCTGGCTGAGACGGTTATATCTGTTTAGTGAGGGATCACCCGTTTAGTAGTGTACTTATAATAAATCCTGGTTTAATATTCTATTAGTTACCCTTAAATTAGTGATACCGTTACCTGAAATATTCTTATACAATTAGAGATGGAATTTGTAGACATGCTCAATCAGCAGTACATATATATAACAAAATACCAAATTACATGTATCTAAATCTAGTGAGTGTTTATCTAAGCACTTCAACCATTATTAACAACTTCTGTGAAGGAATATTTTATATCATACTGTCAATAACGTGCACTCCCTCAAAAAAGTCTTGTTTTATAATCATTCAGGAAAAGGGACATTTTTGTTGGTGAATTTTGATTTCTTAAAAAACTTGATTTACAATTACAGCACACCCTGGAACTAAGTTGGGTGTCTTTTTCCCCAATTATTAATATGCATATTTTATTTTTTCAGTTTGTGCTATCATAAAAATAATGGTGCTAGTTTCTTTTTAGTAAGTCATTTCATATGTGTTTCTACAAGACTTCAAACATATATCATAATCACTTCAGTATTTTGGCCCAATTTTGAGTTAGATTAGGGCTAAGACCAGTGATAAGAGATAGGTTCACCCTAAACTCAATTCCTGGCTAGTAACAGCATATTATCAAGTCAGTATATAGGCTCTAATAAAGAATATCTAAGTTTCTCATGGATTATTCAGTACCGGTATGATATTTTCTTAACATTTCCTCTCATGTTAACAGCATAACACAATCATCAACATATTCAATAAACCACATTTAATGTCATTTAAGATGAGGATTAGCTGAAATATGCAGTCACTTTAATGGCCTGTTACATAATTAGTACATTATATCTAGAAGTACAAGCATATAACTACTTATTAAATTTCCTCTATAGCTCATTTTTTTGACGTTTGTGATAGTTAATAATTCTACAGCAAGTTCTAACTCATACAGTCTCTCTACCAAATACTATTAATAAATCATTAAGATCAAGTTGTTAGAAAGATTTAAGGTTGTATATATTTGCATATAAATAACATTTCTATATTCACATAATGTTCAATTTAAAAAAACTTTCCAATAAGACCTTGCCATACCCATAAATACTAACAGTAATGAGATTTAGACTTCTAGGTATTGCAGATTGATGTTCTATCTACCAAGTGCTACCGTGTCCCATCTTAACTCACTCTAACGTCAGGACAGAGGTCTGTGAAACTGAACAAAATCAAAGAAAAGAGCAGATTTATTAACATGGATGATGTTAATGGATCAATTGTTCAAAATTTGAAATCTTGCTTAGATTCTTTCCAACAACTAGATTAGCTTCTTGAACAAAAATTTAACTTTAATTAAAAGAACCATCAAAACAAAACCAGGGCAAATCTATGTCTGACATTTTTTTTGTACTCCTTTAATCATTTTAAGACAACACAATACAACACAATATTGGCAAGTAACTGATAAATTATCTATGTACAAACAAAATTCAATAGAAATATTTGTTGAATGGTTTGGTGACAATCATTTCATTGACAGTCACATACCCTCAAAAGTCAAAACCCTCAAAAAATTACCAGAAGTCTCAGGAGACAGACATGTCAGTCTTGTGGGCTATAGCCTCTTTTGGAATTTAACAAATAATCTTACTTGCAAAAGTTCTTGCACAGAAAGCACTCTAGTCATCATCCTCAGGAACAAAGATATCATACTCCTCCAGGAAAGCAGCCCCTTCCTTGCTGATTGTCGCACCAAAATAAAGGAATGGGACTACCACAGCAACAACCTTGGGCAATCCAAACCGCATTGAAAATGGGGCAGACAGCAAACCGCCGTTATCATTTGTGGTTCTATGTCGTACCACAGTGCGCAGACAAACCTAACAAAATTTAGTAAATAAAATGAGAGAAAAGAGGGATTAAAAATGGTCTTCATTTCCATCAGGAAACACAGCAACAGAACCTTAAGCCGCATATGCCTCAGGGTGTAGATGATAACTATGGTATTAGGGATTTATAAGGGCAGCTTTCAAACTTGTTGGTGGATGTCCAAGAGTAAACTCAGTTCATCATAGAGGCTGTAGAGAGCCTACTACACATGCCCCCCAAAAAATTTCCAAGATCGGTTGAACTTTTTTAGACCCCTCCCCAGGACGTCAATAATACATGTACATTTGTATGTGCGCCCCCCCCAAAAAAAAAAAAAAAAAAAAACAAACGTCAAACTCTGACTACGGCCCTGCATGTCTGCAAATCACCCTCGTCTTATCCTCAAGGGCTAGGTGATAACATGATATTGATATTACCTAGCCTTCGTTGGAACCCATATACCTCCACATACTGGCTAAAGAGTGATGTAAAAAAAAACTAAATTGCATTGCAAACTACTTTTCATTTGTGTTAAAAGGGTTGCCCGCAAGGAGTTCTCTAAATTCAGCAAACTCTGTGCGTGCACCTTAGTACACTAAAATAATCACTATTATCGAAAGTGAATATCAAATTGGCAACGCAAAAACAGCAATTTTCATGTACATGTAAACCACATGTATTTGTATTTAGTATCCATCTCTGGATATGGGCTTCCAACAGAACAAACATCGTGAACTCTGGTGAGAGGTCAGCATTTTTTCAATGTTTATCGCATACTTAGCTTGTTATCATCAGGAACATGTGAAAGGTACCGGTAAGCAAAGTGCTATCACCCCAGTATCAATTTTCATGTTTTAGGTTAAATTCTTAACTCATTTCAAAGTGCTTTGTACGAGTAGAAAAAATAGCCCCAAGGTGGTTTGCGAGGTTTGTCGAGTGCGGGCATAGATGATTACGAACATATTTAAGGTATTGTTTACATCACTTTTCATGCACTCCAGCAAAGCATAGAGAGTCAATGCTAATGCGTATTGACCTCTAGCACTGCATACATGCTGTGAGGCAGGGACCTAGAAGTCAATACACAAATGCACACACCACACAATATTGCATAGACTGTACACAATCATGTCGATGCAGCTGTAAGTGAAGTTTGACACTAGACTTACAATTTGAATTTTTAAATTATTCTTTTTAACATCAGTAAGTTGAAAAAAATGTATTTTACTGCTATTTAGGTGTCATCAATTGTCACTAAAGTACCGATTTTTAGTGAAATCAGTAAAGTTTTGTACAGTGGTGTTTGAAATGTTGAGAATCAAAAGCACAGCTTTTACTAGACCGAAAGCTTCAGTCTCTATATCGTCGGTTGTTCCACTGAGACTACGTCTGGCTCCACTAAACCTCCGGATATAGAGACTGAACGATCGCCGATGCTGCCCTGATGCTAAGTTAAATCCTTTTTTTTGTAAGAATCGCATGCACTAACATAATAACAATTGGCATTTGGCATTTACAATTGGCATTTAGAATTAAACCACACATGATAAACATTAAGAAAATATGTACCTTGGACCTCTGCATATGAAATCTTCTTCAAAAAAGTGTTATTATCTCTTCCACTTGACTGTCTTCAGACGTCAGCCATCTTGAATCAAAGTAATGAATATTCATGACAAAGTTTTTTAGTCTCCACCCCATTGACCTCATTCATAGACGTGTTGTCTGCTTCACGTGTGCGCGCTATCCTCGACGTGACGCGCAGAGGAGCTAGCCGAGGCGAGGTCAACCATCCTCATTATCGTATTTGAATATTCATTAGCCACCATTTTGATTTCTGTCGGTCAGAATGCTTGATGTGGGTCATCGAGAAGCAGCCAAAAGCTCGGAAAGTCCTTTTATTTCTTTTATATTTCTATTTCGTGGGGAAGGGGGGTAAAAAGGGAACTTTTAGGGACCGACAATTGCCTAGAAAATTACTGCAATTGAAGATAAATGATGTATTTCTCCTCAAGTTTGTCATGTTTGTTGGAGGGGCCTATCGGCTAAAATCTAGCCGTGATATCTTCAACATACGATGGCATAGGAGATCGTTCAGTCTCTATATCCGGAGGTCTAGTGGAGCCAGATGTAGTCTCAGTGGAAAAACCGACGATATAGAGACTGAAGCTTTCGGTCTAAGCTTTTACTACACAGCCAGGATAGTAATGCTCCTACATGTATGTGTGTTTTCATGCAGGGGAATGGGTGCCAATTAATGCTTCATGATATCAATAACATATTTCATATTATCACCTCTTCGCCTAGCCCTACTAGTAAAAGGGGAAGTCCACCCTGATATTAAGTTTTTATACAATAGTATTATGATGGTGGTTATTTTACCTGACTGCTAAGAAAGCATATTTGCTTGTTTTAATAGTCTAGAAGCAGTAAAAAGGGAGGAAGAGGTCAGTGCAGTGAAAGTTTGAGCAAATATCAATTAAAAATAAGAAGGTTATGAGATTTTAAGTTGTCATCAGTAAAATCAAATAAGTAACACTGTAACGCATTAGCATTGACTCTCTATGCTTTGCTGGAGTGCTTTAGGCTTGGCTTTGTACAAATGACCTTGTCCGACTCAAACTTCAATTTTCAAAGTCAAACTCATTCAAATGTTCGAAATTTGAAAGAGATTTGTGGCACATTTACTCTCCAGAATATGAGGATTAAGATGAAATCAAGCACTAGAAGAATACAACAGAAAATTATTGTCAATTTTAAATGAAATGTGAGGTGCGAACTGCAAAGGGCCGAAGACATATAGGGCCTCCAAAAAATGTCTAATAAAATATGGAAACCCACCAGAAATAAATTTAACCAGCAAATAAATCAATACGTGGGATAATGTTGAGAGTGGGCGTGAATGAATGTTGATCATTTCATGAAACGAATCTATGATAGGTATTTTTTCTAATAAGAACTTACCCTGTTTTGATTGGCACGAAGTCTATTTGGTGCATTTCTCATGACAGAAACCAACCCTCTTCCAATAAATGACATTTCGAATTTTGAGCAGAAATGAACGACAAGTAAAACAGAAATAAACAATTTGCGGATGTGTGGCTTCACAGGGCCCGCAGAAAAAGCCAAAAATTTAAGATAAGTAGCAGCTCCTTAGCCAGTTGCTACTGTTTGATGTTGTTGTTATATAATTGCTCTTTTTGTTCTCGTTACTGTTTCTTGTTTTTCTGCAGTTGTTGGCTTGTTGCTGATATTTCAGTTACTGTTAAAAATAATAATCTTCTTCTTCTAGCTTTTTTTTTTTCTCTTTCTTCTTCTTCCTTCAAATTCTGTCAAATGTTCTCTCTACTCTTACAAACTCGTTTTCAATTTATATCACTCTCTCTCTCTCTCTCTCTCTCTCTCTCTCTCTCTCTCTCTCTCTTTCTCTCTCTCTCTCTCTCTAGAGTCGCGAATACTTTATGTAGTTATATTGATACTCTATTCTATTTACTTGTAAATACTTGCATGATGAAGTCTGGAATACACTGAATCATAATCATTTGTTGAAACAGATAATAGGCCATTTATTTCAAAGGACTTTATAGAAGGAGTATATATGCAAAGCTTTTTTTTAATTATTTTTCTCTTGATTAATTGGTACAACACTGGCAAGACTAATATGCAGACATAATAGGTCACTCCGTGTTGGCAATAATATGTATTCTATAGCCAGTAGTTGATCTATGATCCACATAAATTTGATAGATTAGAAGTTCGATTTAAACACCTTCTCATCTAATGTTTAAAGTCGTGGAAGAACAGGCGTATTTTGTTAATACGCCTGAAATGGGCTATCCGCCGTATATCTCATTTATGTATGTATTTGTATGTTGTGATGATTTTATACGGAAATAAAAACAAACAAACAAACAAAAAAGAGGGGCCTAGTTACATTAATAAGAAATGTATAACTCAAACATTTAATTACAGACTCGGCCTTGGTGATGTGCATTTTTCCATACCTCGCATAAAAACAAATTATGGAAAAATATGTCTCAGTGTCTCAGATATAGGGGATCCAAATTATGGAACGTACTAATCGGGTTTCAAAGTGGCGGATTGATGTCAGTGATGGATATCAATATAAATGTCGGACAACCCCAACATTTTCTCAACTATATTGGTCTTAAAAAAAATTAGAGTAAAAATCATCGGACATCACTGCATAGGCAGAGTCTTTTTCACTGGAGAGGAATGAGCCATAATCCTGACTCAAACATGGCCCTGGGAAGCGGGGGTGCTGGGGGTGCTGCAGCACCCCCGGAATTTTTTCAGGGGGGGCACAGCACCCCCTGCAAAAAAAATTGGTATGATATGTTTAATGTATATTATTATGTGCTTCGTTTACAAAACTGTCACACAGCCGACAGCTACAAATGAAGATTAGAAAGAAGACAATTATAACGTTATATATTTTTCTTTCACAAAATCCTATAAAATGTATCCCTCGAAGAGAATTTTTTTTAATTTGTTTTTTTTATATATGTTCAAAATTAATAATAGATAATTAAATAAATTTAAAAAATTGTGATAATTGGTGACCCAAAATGAAAATGACAGACCTTACCCCCCCCCCCCCAATACCGAACGACCAAATTTTCAAATTATGGGACACATAACAACAACAAAATATGTCCTCTTACCCCCCCCCCCCCCCCCCCCCCCCCGCTTATCCAGCGGCTAGCTGAGTCGTAGCAAAAAAAATTGGACCAAACAAAAACAAGAAAAAAAGTCTTCTTACCCCCGCCCCCCCCCCCCCCGCTTATTCAACGGCTGGCTGAGTCGTTGCGAAAATTTCGCAGTATATATATATATCGAAAAAATCGTTCCCAGGGACCTGCAGCACCCCCGGTGACAAAATCGTTCCCAGAGCCCTGGACTCAAACCCCAACGAGTATCTTTAATTGTATCATGATTTGCATCAGTTAATTTCAATTTCCTTCATTATATACTAATATTGTCCTACGGTAGCCTACGTAGATATATATAGAGCTATTCCAGCTAGGGTAGTGGCTTATCGAAAGGAAGGGGGGCAGAGGAGACACGTGCCCCAAGTGGCACTTGGAAGGGGCGCGTGCACGGTGCACACACAAACAAAGTGGAATGTGCGCCCAAATAATTATGAAAGTGAATTGCATCAGGTAGGCCCTATGATTTTTTTTTTCTCGTTTTGTTAAGGTTTAAAATCCACTAAAAATTCAGTATAACTTTGCTTTGTTTGGTAATCCTCTGCAAGATTTCTCCTTGGCATATTCATTTATCTACCGCTCATAATAATTATGCAGGGCGCTCAATCTACGCTTTGAGGGTTAAACAAAATATTTATTTTTTAACCTGGGCATCTTAATTTTTTTTTTATACTGTCTATCTTTTCTTGATTTCAATCGTCTCTCTCTCTCTCTCTCTCTCTCTCTCTCTCTCTCTCTCGGATCTTCTTCTCTTTCAGTTCATATCTTAGTCCTCCATTTCTTCCCGTTCGGCCCCATCAATCCCTTTATAGCTGCATGGAATAGAAGAGAATAGAAATGATAGAATTGATTGACTCTTGCGACCCCCTTCTGGGGTATGAGAGTATACATTTACACGTCATGATAATGACTCTCTCTCTCTCTCTCTCTCTCTCTCTCTCTAAGTGCCATTTTGATTGACTTTGGCGATCATGCTGTTCCACAACCCTCAGTTCCTAGCCTTCTGTATTAGTACCACTCCCAGTTCTTTCACTCCTCTCTCTTCCAACAATTTCTGCAGACTGTCCATCCAAAGTATCCTCCTTCTTCCCCTACTCCTTCTTCCCACAATTTCCCTGCCAAAGCAAGATTCTCTAGGCCTTCTTTACGTGTAATGTGACCCATGAACTTCAACTGCCTAATCAACATCTCACTATCATTTTCCTTTGCACTCCAGCTCGTGTAAGAACTTCCTCATTCCTAACTCTGTCAGTCCAGGGGATTTTCATCATTCTTCGCAACTTTCCAAACGCTTTTTAGTATCAGAGGCTAAAGTCCACGGTTCACTACCATACATAAGTACTGGGTAGATGTAACAATTCAATACTCTTGTTCTGGTCCTCATACTCATTGTTCGATTTGTCAGAATTTTGCCTAGCTTTGAAAATGAAGATTTAGCGAGAGCTATCCTTCTCTTGATCTCTGTCTCACATCTGGCATCCTCGGTGATCATGCTGCCGAGGTAGTTAAATGAGGAGACTTGTTTAATAATAAAGAATACCAACTTGATAATAAACAAAACAACAATCCAAATGCAATGTATATACGATAAATAGGAATGATCTAAACCTAGACTATGCTAAACATAAATACAATATTATACAATATAGCAAGACAAATAGTATACATGAAAAGTGGAGAATTCCACATGAGCAAAATAAATACAAACAACAAAAACCTACATAATAATTATTGTCTATCTAAAAAAAATCATCAGTTTCATTTTGTAGGCTACATGTATGATGTGACTGTAAGTTTTAAGATTTATGCAGACGGTATAATATTGTCCTTAGAAACCTAATTCACTCTTTGCTTTCCAAAGGGCATGCAAACAAAAACACAATGGATTCTGGAATATAATGTATAAGAAAAAAAAGAGAGAAAATGTGATCCGCCACATAGTCTATCTCAAGTAGTCATAAAGTTTGCAGGTAGCGGTTTTCATGGCATTCATGCTGTGTTGAAATTCCTATTCACTTAAAATAACTTTGCCTACAAAAAAACAAAACACTTTATTTTTCCTGGGCGTGCGTTAGGGGATGCATGATTGGGTGATTTTTTTAATTAATATACATGCAGACGTGTATCAATCAGATATGATTATTTACGTCTGATTGGTGAAGTCTATATTGGCTTTTATATTCCCTATTTGTATTATAAAATCGCCGTAAAAACGCACACCTGAACGGTAATATTGTATCTAGCGCCCTCTTTAATCAAAATATACAAACTTTCAATCTCTTTGACAAATAATTATCACGTAGGTGCACTAGATCAAAATTTAACATAACAAAATCGCAGAAATCTGCGCCAATCTTAAATAATGAGGGAATGAAAATGATTTTGTCCTGATATTTCGAACAAACGCTTCAATTTAAAATTGATATAAATTCGTCGAATCCTCAGCATATTTGTTAATTTTAGAGAAAAAGAAGTGTCCTCTGGTCATTTCGCACGAACTACATTTACATGTATGAAGTGTAGGCTGTACCGCTGTACTGTAGCATGTCAGATGTAGCCTGGTTATAGTTGATGAATCGAGAAAATGATGGGCTTCGTGTGTCCGGACGCTCATAGTTATACAAATTAAACTTGCTTTTTTTGCACCGATAATGGTTTGGTATTTCTCGGGATCTGCCAAGAACTTGCTGAAGTTGAAAAGAGAATAGGGGTCTAGTTGCACATTGTGACCGTGAACTTTCGGTGAAGCCGAAGGTGATGACTCTGCCTCTGGGAGTCGAGGCCAGGGGTGGTATTCTGAACATTGTTGTAAGTTTTGTGTTATCTTTTGTTGTATCTTCCAGAGATAACACAGCGCTAATATTGTTGTAAGTTGGTATTCTGAACATCATTTTATCCCTGTGTTATCTCTTGAAGGACCACCTCTATCTTATCTTTGACCACTGTTGACACGCCCATTTGTATGGACCCTACCAATCAAAATCTGTTTGATATAAGCATGATAAGTAGGCCAACCAATAGGAATACTTTATGCCATATCTGAAGATGCACCTAGCGCATACTAATCTTGGGCGTAACTAGTTATTTGAGCGCTTATTACGCGCGTCATCATGTTGAATGTGGATCATGAAGACAAGTCACGCTTTCACTATATTGGTTAAGATGAGAGCATTAAAATCGTCATATCCTAGCATTTAATTTCTTAGAAAGTTCTCATCTGTGATGTTTCCGGTCAACACAAAATCTTCTTCTAAGTCGTCTATTGACACGAAGTCGGTTCTGGGCAAGAAATATTGCCGCCATTATGTCACCACGAAAGATACAACAACCCCCTAGATCTACCTGTTGTAAATATTGTTGTAAATACCATGCAAGATAAGATAAGATAAAAGATACAACAACTTTCAGAATACCAATTATCTCGACATATTATCTCTCGTGCGCATATGCAAATAAGGATTAAACGCCACTTTATTAATAATACGCACAATTACAAGCGCACCAAACTATGAGCGCAGGCGCGGCCAATGAGATGAGAGAAAAGATACAACAAAAGATAACACAAAACTTACAACAGTGTTCAGAATACCAACTTTATCTTATCTCCAAAGATACAACAATATTAGAGATAACACAGGGTTCAGAATACCGCCCCAAGTGCGTAGTCTAACTATTCTCTTTCCAGGCTTTTATATTCTACTTTGCCTTTGGGCAAAATCTGGAGAATTACCATGGATTAAGATGAGCTTGTTTCCAAAGTTGCAGTAATTCTCCGGTAGAAAAGTAGAAAAATGCCTATTTTTAGAGTAAAGGAGCCGGTTTTCGGCCACTGTCTTAAGACAAAATCCTATTTTTTGGACTCTTTACTTCCTATTTATTATCATTTCTTGTTCAAATCATGAAGCAAATATTATTATTTAAACAAAAAAAGAATCCCAGAAAAAAATCACGAATTGCCATGACAATATTCATTTCAATTTTCACTGTTTTGGAGCCAGTTATCGGCCGAGCGTTTCAGTTTACGGCCGCATGTACAAAAGTCAATAGGAAGCGCTCGCACGCGCCGTGCGTTTCCGCGCTGATGTACAGCACAAGCGGGCGGAGCAGGTATCCCACGCCGGAGCTCCCTGGTGCTCGCCTGGCCGAAGACAGGCACAGCGGTGATCGGAAGTTGGAATCTGAATTAGACAGACATATCGTGTGTGCGTGGCAAGGTCCGGCTGCATTGATTTAATACATGCGATGAGATACTTTTGAGCTCGCGACTAACACAAAATCGGGCTCTAAATCTGAAAAATACTTGAAATAAAGCTGATTTTATGGTACCCATATTTCTTACATACACGCGTAAGAAACTCGATTTTTCAGATTTGGGTAGCGGGACCGCCGATTACATCGCTAAAATGTGATATTTTAGGATATATTTTCCATTGCAAATGTGGTTCTTCAGTGACTCTGGCATGGTATGGTATGTGTGGGATATGTGTTGTGCTATTATGCGATGCATTTTAAAGGGATTTTACCATGCATCCAATGGATCGGCCGAAAACTGGAGCTGTCCGATTACCGGCTCCTTTACTCTAGTTACGCATTGATGATTGTTGAAACTTGACTGAGTAGGGGCGCTGGTCCGAGAAAATGGATCGCCTTTGTTTACGCAGACAGACGCATCCGCCTTTTTGCTGGCGATTCTGAACTAGGCCTATGATCTGCGTGTTGGTGATGCGAAAAACGGATTCTGCAATGATTTTCTGGATGCATTTTACAGAGACTTTTACATTATGAGCGATAATTCCTTGGGAAGACATCCTTCAGACACATAAAAGTGAACTGGGGGTAGAGTCTATTTTATTACGCGGAATCCGGTTTTTAGTATCGCCAGCGCGCTGATCGGAAACCTGCATAGTGCTGCAGAAAAAAACATCTGCAAAAATGCGGACGATCCTTATTTCTTAGGACGCATTTTGTCCGCGTATACAAGGATATCCTCATTTATGCGGACAATCCTCATTCTCTGGCCTTCTCTGAAATGCGTGATGTCACGCCTAATGCGTGATACTTGGTAGCTCTGTTAATGCCAGTTCATGCTTGAACTTAAAAGGTCTTCTGTCATGTCTGTCAACTCTGTGTCTGAGAGAAGTGAATGAGTATATCTAATGGGTTACCTAGGACTGTTTCTGTTACTGTGAGACTCGTATTAAATTGGACGGGGGGGGGGGTCCGACTGCAATTTGGTGAAAACAAGATTGTGGCGATACGCATCACTTGTGTGAAATGTATCCTTTATCTTTTGTATAACGCTGCAGTTCAGAGTAATGGTCATGGGCAGAAATATGAAAATTATTGCAATCAAGATTTCTGCAAAATTTATCTTTTGAAAGAATACTCTTGATTGTGTTAATGGGAGTTAAGTTAATGGGACTCTTTATTCATGAATTTGTATTTAGCAATGGCGGACGCAGCACCAGACGCAGCAGCACCAGCCGGTGGTAGAGGAGGTTTCCGTGGCGGCTTTGGGTCAGGTGACCGAGGCAGGGGTCGTGGACGTGGTCGCGGACGTGGCCGTGGACGAGGTCGTGGAAGGGGCAAGCCAGAGGACAAGGAATGGCAGCCAGTAACCAAGCTCGGCAGGTTGGTCAAAGGTGAGAAATGTTCACACTTTGTTTGCACCTGTAGCAGTTTGCGAAGAGAACGAAACGCCTAGACAGCCATATTGTACACAAGTGTAGGTGTGATGAAAGTGGAATCTGGCAGTCTACTGATTGTTCGATTGGTCGACCGATGTGGGAAAGACTGAGCCTGACGGAATAGATTTGTTTAATTTTCTTAATGAAAGAAAATAAAATGCCTTACCGAAGGGTACGAGCACATCGACTTGGTATCAAACCTGGGCCTCCCGAGTGAAACCTCTACTCCAACCATCCTTTCTCCTTGCATACTATTTCTAATCAATTTCTTCTCACTTTACAGACCTGAAGATCAAGGAACTGGAGGAGATTTACCTGTTCTCTCTCCCCATCAAGGAATTTGAGATCATTGACTTCTTCCTTGGCCCCGCCCTCAAGGACGAGGTGCTCAAGATCATGCCCGTCCAGAAGCAGACCCGTGCTGGACAGCGCACCAGGTTCAAGGTACATAGCTAAGCTCACTTTTTTTTCCTGGGTTTGGATATGTCCTGAAAAGTTTCAGTTACAGTTTAATTTATTTTAAAATAATTTATTTGATTATGGAGTCCATAGATATCGCTCAAGAGATTAATAACGGATGAGTTTGAAACGAGCAAGCTTCTAGCCCAAGTTACCCATATATGCAGCCAGTGTGCAAGTGTTGGGATGGTGAATTAAAAGAAGAGAACAAATTGTCATGGTTTATTTCTTGAAAATGGTTTGGCCCAATGTTGCATTTTACTCTGTAGAAAACATTTCTCTTTTCATCGTATCAGAGATTCTGTATCTAGAAGATATTGTCTAGAGGCTTACTAAGGTCTTGGAGATCTGCATTCAGAGATGTATATAAAGCCCCGTCTTTACGCAGATATCATCAGTTTGACAAATCAACTGTCTAATTCACAGGCATTATTCACTCTTTTTATATGCACATATTTTTTTTTCTTTGCAGGCTTTTGTAGCTATTGGTGACCACAATGGCCACATCGGTCTTGGAGTGAAGTGCTCCAAGGAAGTAGCGACAGCCATCCGTGGAGCCATTATCCTGGCCAAGCTTTCCATCATCCCAGTCAGGCGAGGCTATTGGGGTAACAAGATCGGCAAGCCTCACACAGTACCCTGCAAGGTGAGGAAGATTTGTTTTAAAATCTTTTAAATCTTATTTTTATCAAGAAATTTGTACATACATCATGATAAGAATAATCATAAAAATCACTGCACAATAATTACAAGAGGTAAGAACAAATGAAAAACGTCAAACAATACAGAAATAGTGGGTAACACTTTCTATTCTACAGTGTATATTACAGGATTAAAATCTAAATACTTTTTCCACCGGGAACCATTTCTTCATTTCTTATAGTGCATTCCTTCAATCTTCTTCTGTTTTGCAATGTTAAGTTCTATGTATTAGGTGAGTAAGATTACCTCAGACGTCATTGACCATTAGCTTCTGGCTTTATTTTCTATAAATAAAAATATATGGTTAGGTGATGGATCTTTTGCTATGTTTGAAAGGTGTACAGTATGATACTTTCTCTATAGAAAGTGTTGTGTAGAAGTTGACCTTTTGGCTTAAATGCAATCTCTTGTCGATTAGAACAGGTGTAAAGTATTATTTTTGCACCAGTTTGGAGGAGGAAAATATTTAACTGTTGCCTTAGTATTCTATTTTGTAAGAAAAAGCCAACTATCTTATGAATTAATGAGTGTTTACAATACCCTTCCAAGTGATTGTGACTTAAACTTGAGACCTTTGCATCCTAATACTAGGTTACAGGAAAGTGCGGCAGTGTATTGGTGCGTTTGATCCCTGCACCCCGTGGTACTGGTATTGTCAGTGCCCCAGTACCCAAGAAGCTGCTTCATATGGCTGGTATCGAGGATTGCTACACCAGCGCCTGCGGACAGACCGCTACCCTCGGCAACTTTGGTAAGTACACCAAGTTAGAGGTGCCAGTTTTTATACTATCTTTCAATTGTGTTTATTTACTTCTTTCAATTGTGTTTATTTACTTCTTTTTTCTTTTTTTCTTTTTCAGGCTTTATACTGTTCAGAATATATGAAGCTTTATCATGTATGGATAGAATAAACCTTCACAAGCTCTAAACATGACATGTAAACAAAGGGTGCTGGAGAAGAAATACTACAGAATTATGTATGATTTTCAACTTAAAAATATAATACAGACTTTCAAATAAATTTCTCTCCCCCCCCCCCCCCCCCCCCCCCCAAAAAAGAAGAACATTCATTTACTTTTCCTAGTGAAAAGGCTTCTCACTGGTTCCCTTTTCTTTTCTTTTTTGTAATTTTTCATTATTTTTGTTAATCCTCACTCCTACAGCTAAGGCTACGTTCCAGGCCATCTCCAAGACGTACAGCTACCTGACCCCTGACATGTGGAAGGAGACCGTCTTCAGCAGGTCACCCTACCAGGAGTTCACCGACCATCTGGCCAAGAACCATAAGGGACAAGCCAGCAAACCCGTTCCGGAAGCCTAAGTCACACCCCTACCTCCTACCCCCTCCTTAATCTACCACCACCATCAGGGAGGGGGCTAGGGTAGTAGCAGCCTTTGATGATCAGGGCTTGTGTGTATTCACCTGTTACAGGTGGATAAACATCTCTTTGTGAAGCAGAGAGATCACTCCATCTACGATAGATGGAGAAAAAAAAAATCATAAACTAGCAATGCAAGATCAACTTCATTCTTTCTAATTCAATTGATTGTAGCCTGTAGAGTTCTTATGATCTTAACTTTATGAAGGCTTAGTTTATAGGACAGATATCATTCCACCAAATCTGTTAACACACCTAGTCAAATGATCCAGAAATGTAATGAAGTATGCATCAAGTGAAAAAGCAAGTAAAAAAAAAATTGAAAAAAAATGTATTGAATTTGCCCAAGATGTCGTTCTTTGGTTGTTATTTTTGGAAATGAGTGAACTTGTGAAGTAAAGTGTATGAGGGGACTGAGTAAAATTTGAAGTAAACGGGCGATCTAACCCGTGTGATCGTTTTATTTGTATGAAAGCTGAAAATAAGGGAAACTAATGGTGAAAGTGTGAACAAAATCGGACCAATGATAAGAAAGTCGCGAGTGTTTGAAATATGAGATTACGAAAATATATGCAAGTGAAAAAATTCTTGAATTTGCCCAAGATGTTCTCTGGTTATGTTTGGAAATGAGTGAAGTAAAGTGTATGAGGGGACTGAGTGAAATTTGAAGTAAACAGCCGATCCAACTCTTGTGATCATTTTTATTTGTATGAAAGCAGAAACTAATGGTGAAAGTGTGAACAAAGTCAGACCAATGATAAGAAAGTCGTGAGTGTTTGAAATATGAGATTACGAAAATCTATGCAAATTGGTAGTTTGGCCACTGGATTATGACATATTCAAGTTGGTTTCGAAAAATGAGAGAAACAAATTGGTGACAGTTTGAGTAATATTCAATCAAAAATAAGAAAGATATGAATTTTTGAAGTTGACATCAGTGAAACACAAACTGGCAAATATCCTGCAAGATCCTCTTCAGTTTGCTCTGTACAGAAAATGTCATAACCTTTCTTTTTCTTAATTGTTGATAACAGAATAGATTTTTTTCATGCAGGGGTTGTATAAAAACATACTTTTAGGGTGAATGTATGATTGAATGAATGATTGAAGTACTGCCTAGTACAGTGGAGCTTGGATATAACAAGGTATGTTATAACGAGGAGATTTTGCTGGTCCTAGCACTTGATAATGTTTCTTTTACGCTGATATAACAAGGTAATTTCCTTGGTCCCAAGGGCTTCATTATAACGAGTTTCCACTGTATTGGGCAGTTCTAGGTAGTACTGGGACCTCGCAAGATATACGGCACAAAGACCATCCTGTTTCTCTCTTTTTTTTCTGCTTCTAATAAAACCAACTTAATATCAGGGTGGTATGGGGTCATGAAGTTGGTTAAATGAACATATTGGCATATGTGATCCTACATTATTCAGTGATCATTGTTGCGGTTGAAATTGAGCCTGAAGTTATGAAATTGTTAATAATAAATTTTCATGTTGTATAGCTCCCTCTCGAGGTCAAGATATAAATTAAGCCATATAACAATGTTTCTGGACTAAAATCGACTGATTGACTATTTCTGTTTGGAAATTACATATCACAACTACAGGTACATATTCTATTTAAAATTTACCGGGAGCACCGGTAAATTGTTCTCAAAAGCAGAAGTGATTTAGAGGCTAAATTTTTTAGTGCTTATCTACAGGGGCATCCAAATACAGTAAAGAATCTCTATCCAGCCAATTTTCAAAATTTCCCAAAACTTTGTATTACCTTTAAACCCTCTAGATTAGATTGTTTGACCAATGTTGAACACAAAATTGCACTAATTGTATTGTGTACTAAAAATGATGATGCAACTTGCCGATACCTATGCCGTATTGTGGTCAACAGGAATGGACTTTGCCAAACTATGTCTAAGTGGTTCATGTGAGGATGTTGTGTGCTTGTGCAAGGCTTCCATGGAAGTATGAGATGGTCTTAGAAAGGTTGGGACTTCAATATTTATTTGGTGGTATTCTGAGAACAATGTCACCTTGGTGTTGGTTAAACCATGTTAAATGTCATAACAAATCAAAATTAGATCAAGTCATTGGTTAATGTCTGCGCAAACCTGGCTGTATTTGTATATACATGTAGTTTAAAAAGAGACATCTGCACAAGCATAAGACAACCAACATTGTTTTCCTTTACAAAAGACAACATAGTTTTCAGAATAAGACCAAGGAGGAGCAGAGAGAGTGCCAAATGATGTATACATGTATATAATAAGATGGAGAGACATTAAAGGATAAGTTGAGTTCTGTTGCAGAGGGCGCTACACAAAATAATTTTGTGTGAGATAATGAAAAACTGAGTGTCAAATTTGAAAGAACATACAATTATAAAGCCCCAATGTCCTACTTGTAGCTACTTGCTCCCTCTAAATAGAAAACTTCCCCAATCGGTGCCTGTTGGTCCCCCATGATCCTCTTTGTCTTTAAGTTAGTTTAGAGCTGAGTTAATGAGATAGCCACCTGTCAGTGACCTCGCTGTGTGGTCTAATCCCTTCTGGCCCAGTAGTATTGACAGTCTTTTAATGACAAAATCATCTTTGTTTGATCAAAATAGGTTCAGAGATGGCTGAAATATCCATAAATATAACAATTTCTAATATTTGTGTACCACCACAAATATTCGATAATTTGTAAAAGCCGTTGAAAAAACAAAATAGCGCCTTTTACCTTGTATTTCAGCCAATGCCAATGTTGGATTTGTTGTTGGATCTGTTGTTAGCTTTGTCAGGTTGGTTATCTCCCTGGTTATATTATGCACAACCAGCCGGCCCATGTATTGTTATTATTAATTAATTAATTAATTAACGGTCACCGTATTTTTTTGAAAGTGGAGCTGAATTGGTATGATTGGCTAAATTTTTACACATTTTGGTGTCTAAAATTACCTCCATAGCAATTTTAGGTCCCAAAAGGGCACTAGAAATGTCAAAGATAAGAATAAGAGCAATAAGCATGCACTTTGAAGACATTTGCGGTCTGAAAACAGAACTAAACTATCTCTTTAACCGAAAGGCAGGAGTTGGTGTTCATTATACATACTTGTACCAAATCTAGAATTCTGGAAACTAATGCTTCTTACTACTAATTTGCCTCTATATTTTTCCATTAGAGGTGAAGGAGAGGGGAGGGGGAGGTCAAGTTAATACTATCAACAGGCTGGGAGTTGAATCCCTTCTGAATTTTCTCAAACTATCACTGATCTATATCTCTTCTTATCTGTTCGTTATTAAAACCAACCACCAGGTCGGACTCTCTCCTCTGGTTTGTCACATTCTCTCACATCAACATCCACACTTATCTTAATCAAACAACAAGAAAATGATGACAGAGCCAATGCATGCAAAATCACCGTTACCCAAGACTTAGTTTTAATGATTTCTTAAAACTTTCTCTGTGTTTAGAAGTTATCTTCAAAGACATGGAGACAGCCAAGAAATGTGGCCTTCATACAAGAGAGACACTAATGCTACCACAAAGCTTTCAAATAATTCAAAACTACCTTGAGTAGGAGTAGATTTCAGTATATGGCTGATTCACTACAGAAAAGTACCAGAGCTTGGGAGTGCATGCCCAGTGCCCTATGCCTCAAGTCCTAAATATAATTCTACAATAGTTGCTCTAAAATATTACACTTACATATACATACAAAGACACTCTACTTATGTACTGATAATAAGAGATTAAAAATATGTTTATCCATCAAAATAATAAACATCCATAGGTTCTTGTCCCCTTAACGGAGATCATTTTCTGTTACGCCCTCAAAATTTTATTCTACGCAAGCATCAAACTCATTCTGTTTGTCATTTTTTCTCCCATACATGATTTCCGCATCACAAGCTTGCATAGAAATGTAAACATATGGTTTCTGTATACAATAATATATATTTATATATAAAACAAACTTGAAGTGATGATGGTTCAAGAAATGAATAGTACAATTACGTATAAATGTATTCTGTGTAATATAAACATGATGAAATCTGGCACTGGATCGTCACATTAGAAACGTACAAGTAATAAACAAACTTTTTCCTCCATTTCGTCAAAATGACAGCAGAGTATATACAATTATGCATGTTTAAAAAAATGAAGTTAACAATTTTATTTCACTGAAATTTTAAGTATTTACTCTTGTTTGTTTTACATAACAGGTATCAAAATTGAATGTAATTTCAGCTTTTACAATGCTCCTTTCTTTCTGTTGTGAATCTTTTCTTTCTTTCTTTCATAATGTACATAATCGGAAACACACATAACAAGTGTAAAACTACAGGTCTGAGCAAATTATTTCTACGCTGTGCAGCAAATTGAACGTTTCCACGGTCATTCCCAACTCACTATAACGGAGTCATGATGTAACGGTCAATAACACTCACTTCTTTAAACAAAATCAAAACTACTACATGAACTTCACTCAAAGCCAGTTCCCAAACAAAGAAAATCAGGAGATTTACTTTAACACTGAATTGCCTATGTAACCCAAGAAGATATCTGATTTATCTGCCTTAAACAAAACGCCTTTTAGAACCCAACAACCATCATATAGTCTACATGGCATGTTTAAAAAAATGTGAATTTTGACAAATGAAAATTCTTTAAAAAATGCAACTGTTAACACTTACAAAAGAAAGCAAGTACATCTACAATAATAGTCTGAAATTGAAATAAAAATATAAATTGAATCAATAACATTTGAAAAGGAAGCTTTCATACAAATTACAAAATAGAGTAACAGTTTAAGAATTGGAAGAATACATGTACATCCAGAGTTGAAAGATTTACTAACTGAACAAAAAAACTCAATCAAACCAATTGCCAAAGGAAGAATATTCATTCAAATCATATAAACAAAACAAACTATTTCATCAAAATATAATATCCAGATCACAGAGTGGACAAACGGTTTCTTTCCTTTTCAACAAAATTAAATTCACACTGGTAATAATGAAATGGGATTGATCCAATTAGTTTTTAAAAAGTAAATTCAGATTCAAATGTCATGCAGTTACTTTTCAGAAATCACATGAAGTGAAGAGGAATCTGTACATGTACTTCTGAATAATCATGTTTACACTTTGAACATCTAGTACACAGCCAATCCGTTTACAAAGATGTGATGATGTTCTGTTTACACAAGAACTAGTGTATTAAGGTTGAGTTTTAACACTGGCAACACAATAGGAAATACACATCAAGTGTTAACCCTAGGTGTTGACATTAGCACTTAAAGCAATACAAATCTATAGATGTTAATCATAATATAGAGAGACAATGT